GTTGGAAAAGTCGGCGGCTTTTAGGGTTTATGTGGAAGTGAGAGATGCGTTTGATGAGAAGAAGAGAGATTGAAGAAGCCATTTTTAGGTTGCAGAAGCAGCCATGATAAGGGTTTATGTCATTTCTCTTGTTAAACCCAGTGAAAGGCTCGATGTCGCAGAGATCGATTCCGGTTTAATTCGGTTTAAATTCGGTTCTAACATTAAATAGAAATTGGATCGGTTTTAGAATTTTGGTTTATTCAGATTTGCAAAGGAGAGGGGTCAAATAAATTAGCCGTGGAAACGGGCAAAATCAACTCTAATTATTTCCATGCGGCTTTTTTCAACCAAACTTTGATTTTTTATACTTATTAACCCGAATCCACATAAATTTCAAATAACAAATCTAAATTATGTAAATGTTAGCCAATTTCAACCTAATTTTTTGTGTATTTGTTAATGTCGATTAGAATTGTTAAGTCGTAATTATCTGTTCTTTTATACATGAATTATTCATTTATTTAATTGATTAAAGGTTACATAATTCATGTTTGTTACATTATATAATAACACGTATATGTTGAAATTTGCTAAGAGTTACCTAGTTCATGTTTGTTATTTGAAATTTATGAGAGTTCAGGTTGATAAGTGCAGGAGATCAGAGTTTGGGTTGAAAAAGACACCATAAAAATAATTGGGGTTGATTTTGGCCATTTTCCCAATTAGCCGGCGATTTGTTCCGTTCCAACAATGAGGTTATATGGAGGGAATATGATCCAGTTTAGGTAACATATATTAAAATTATAATTTTTTTTTGTTAAATGTAAAATTATAAATTTTCTTACATATATCATGTGGATACACAAATTTTATTTTTATAATTTTACCTATAAAACATATTCTTAAGAATTTTTATTATAAATATATTTTACATATTTTGAAGTAGATCCGGATATTCGCAAATATCGTAATATATATTCTTTTTTTGGTTGAATTTTTTTTCGGTTTAGATAGATAACCGAAGTCTATATCCGCATAGTTTAAACTAACCGAACAAAACGAATACAATTCGAACAAAACTATATTCGACTAAGTTTGGCTAGAATTTTAGAATCAAATTATTAGAATGCCCACCAGATGAATATCAAACGTAATGGCTATAAATGGTAATATAGTTTTGGAGGAGACAAAAGTTGTTATATCATTTGCTTGTTGAGGAATACTTGAAGAATATGTGAGCAAAATGTTGATGTTTTTAATATTTTATTTTTGTTTTTGTTGTGTTTAATAACTTAAAATTTTCGTAAGTTGTTTTGTTAATCTGTGTGGTAATTATAAGAGAAACTTTGGTTGAAAAATAAAGACGAAAATATACTGTATAGTGTATACATCTTCCCAAACACAATCGATTAAGTTATTGAATCATTTTTTTAATTTCTTAAGTTTTTTTTTCTCTTATAATTTATTGTTTTAGTAGATTTTACTTTTGTTCAAAAAAAATGTAGAGTTTAGTTTTTTTTTTTAGTTACGGTTTTCCTTTCTATAGATACATAGTTTTTTTTCCATCATTACAAAGCATGATATTATTATCTTATTATATAAAGTATGGTTTTCAAAATTAGTAATTCACATGATTGTGACACGTGTCAAATCTATCGATCAGATGTTGACACATGTCATAAAAAAATAATTTTTTTCCTAAACAAAATAGGCAAACCAATTAAAAAAATCATATTACTAAATTACATGTGTATATCTAACTTTTATTTCCTTAACCAAAAAGGAAAACAAATAAATCTTTTATAAAATGATTTTTTTGATTACTTGAGAGAGTAATAGTATAACTTTACTTATACTTTTATAAATTTTCATGCATGTAATTTTAAGTGGAAACACAAAAACAAAACTAGAAAAAATGAGCTCATATGAATGAATTTTTGATTACTTAATATGTTAGTATATCTTTATTTATGTTTTATTTTATAAATTTTAACACATTTAAAATTAGTTGGACATGAGGTAAAATTATTACTAATGAGATTATGGCATATAAGAAAAATTATACTTAAAACAATGTTGCTTTTATAAAACTTTTTGTGGATTTATTTTTTATTAAGAAAATATTTTTAATACTAACTCAGATATAATGCACATATTTTTTTGATATAAATATTTTAACTCTTATCCAGTAAAAAAAATGCGTAGAAGTAGTAGATGATTGGTTGGGGTATAACTGGAAAATATTTGCTATATGATTTTAGTTGTAACTATGTTGGTTATATCTATAGAAAAAAAGATACTAGCTTAATTTAAAATTATAAATTTTTACAGCCCTTTTTAAAAAAATACCACTAAAACAAAAATTATGTCGTATAAATATTAAGAGCTATAGCCAAAAAACTATATAAAAAAATTGTTTTGGGCTGTGAGCCTTTTAAGGACGGCTTGAGGGGTTCAATATTAAGGTTGTAACCTTTTTTGTTGTTGTAAAAGAGAGAGATAAATACCAACCAATCAAGCACTTAAACTCGAGTTTGTTGTGATGAAATAGATATGTATTAATATATTTTGTATCTTAAAATAATTAATTTACTTTCATATTCTTTCAAGTATTAAAATTAGACTTTTTATTTATTTAGTAATTTGTTTTTTTATTAAAACAATTGATAAAATCTAGCAAAAATCCGGTTTAAAATAAAATTATCAAACTAAATCAAAATCTAACGATTATATGATCAAATCTCTTTTTGTGTTTTGGATAAGAGTTGAGAATGTTTTTGAGGCAATGAGGTTTTCAAAGTTGTCTTTTAAACCTTTTAATGTGTTTTGTTATGTTGTGCAAGTTTGAGAATATGCGTTCTCGTGTGGATCTCTCTAATGTCTTTTTCTTTGCAAATTTAAACTCGTTTTTTTTTTTAATATACCCAAGGGATATCCTTTTTTTGTTCATTACTTGAACTTCAAGTCCAATTTCTTTTGCTCAATTATTGCACGTCAATGAGTTACAATATCCAAACTATTTTGTATACATTACTAGATATGGATTCGTGCATTGTACGGATTACTGGTCGAAATTATCATTTTTAAATTTTTATTTTTGTAATCTTAACTAAAATTATATAAAAGTATGTTTTAATTTTAGAATATGTAGTTTTTTTAGTTATTTTTAAATATAGATTAATTATGCATAATGTGCAATATAAAATAGTATTTGTAGTTTTGTTTATTATATGTTAATAACACTATTAATGTGCAAGAGAGTCAGAGTATGAGTTCAGGAAAGATAAATGGCTGAAAACTAATTTGAGTTTTATTTTTGTAATTGACATGAAGAGTTCCATATTAAGGTGTTCAAAAAGCTTACTCTTGCAGCAAGTTGGCAAAACTTTCTCCCCAGAAACGTTCTCTGAAGAATCTGTTCGCGCAAGGCTTACCTTCCCACAGATCCAGTGCACCAGTGATGATTCCGGAAACAAACACAACCGGGTGCTTTGCTCTGAGACCTAGTCTCCTCAGCTTCAAGCCTGGAGTCTCAGGCAAAGCATCCTCTGTTGTTACTGCATAGTAACTGTAGATGAATGTGCCCAGCAACCAAAATGTGCAGATAAATGCAATGTATAAGCAACAGGAATGGAGACATGAAGAGATCCGTGTCTCAAATTCTTTGCGATTGCGTTTTAGTTGAGTGCGATTGGGTTTCCCCTTCCGAGACATTTGATTACGACAAACCCTAGATCTTCCTTCGACTGAATAATATATATTTTTTTGGTCGGTCGAATAATATTTGACCAACTACCTTATGCAATTTTTAACCAAAAAAAAAAAAAAATTTAACATAAGGGGATGTTAAAGATATTCATTACCACTGAACCACGAACATATCATATGCCAATACTAGTCTAATCCTTTATATACTCCAATTGGGCTTGTTAGATTTAATAAAGCGCAAAATAATAAAATAAAAATTGAATGAACCAAAGATCCGAACCTGTGTGCTCTTTGCATACTTAATTTAGCCATTAACTCTGAACCATAGACATCTTCGATAAGAGGTTCTAGCTTCTTATAAATATTGGATTTAATAAACGACGTCGTTACAGTTGGGGGAAATCATCAAATATTCAAATCTAAGGATTTTTTTTTGGATTTAATAAAGTGCAAAACAGAAATTAGAATAGCTGTTTAATCGAGCTTTATTATAATACAGAATAGAATTAAAACATTAAAGTTTAGAAATAGTTTTAACATAAATCACGATCTTCGTATGTTCATTTATATAGTAGTGTGAATATTGATAAATATTGCTAAATCGCAAACATATCAAATTATGTAAAAAAATATTTGAAAAATTAGAAATGAAGGATCTTTAAAATTAGATTTGTCTATCTATATATTTTTTTTATATTAAATTGTCACTTAGGATTAAATTACCCTTGAAAATAGATAAACCAAATTTTAGAAAGTTTTATGAAGAAAAAATCAGAAGAACATATTGATAATGACAAGTAATGATGAAGAAGAGTTAAAGAAAAACATTTGTGATTTCGTCAAAACTTGGTAGTTTTTTAGATAGTTGAAATTTGTTCTAAAACGTTTAGAAAACATTTATAAAATATTTTCTTAATAAAATAAATAGACTTTTTATTTATATAGTATTTTGTTTTTTTTATTAAAAGAATTGATAAAATCTAGCAAAAATCCGGTTTAAAATAAAATTATCAAACTAAATCTAAATCTAAAAAAAATGTGGACTACCATTCAAAATTCAAATATCGTCAATAAAAATTTATATTTATTTTGTAAACCCGCGTATTTACGCGGACCTTATCTAGTATGCTATAAAACTCCAGTGGAAAAAAGAATAGAAAATAGATTTTCATATTAGTATTTCCTTTTTTTGTCAGATATTAGTAAATTGCCTTAAAAGTTTTTTTTTTTTTAATAAGTCATATTTCCTTTTAGGGTTTTGTTTTTCTTCTCCGCATCATCTATATATATACACAACTCACTGCCTTGCGCGTGTCTGTGTGCTTTGATCGAGTAAAAACCTATCCCTTGATCGAACTTTCTTCTCGAGCCCTAGACATGTCGCTGAATCCTAACACCAGAACGGAGGTCCGCCGGAATCAGTACAAGGTTGCGGTGGATGCAGAGGACGGACGACGGAGGAGAGAAGCAAACATGGTTGAGGTTCGTAAAATCAAGCGAGAGGAGAGTCTGATGAAGAAAAGGCGTGAAGTTCTTAATGACTTATCGGGTTTGGTCGATACGAAGTTGGAAAGTTTGTCGGATATGGTCGCTGGGGTTTGGTCGGATGATCTTGCCTTGCAGCTCAAGTCAACTACTCATATCAGGAAGCTTCTATCTAGGGCGAGAGATCCTCCAGTCGACGAAGTAATAGATTCTGGTGTTGTTCCTCGGTTCGTTGAGTTTCTTAAGAACGAAGATAACCCTAATATTCAGTATGAGGCAGCTTGGGCTCTAACAAACATTGCATCAGGAACATCGAATCATACAAAGGTTGTAGTAGATCACAATGCTGTTCCAATCTTTGTCCATCTTCTTGCTTCTTCCCCAAGCGATAATATCCGAGAACAGGCGGTATGGGCATTAGGTAACGTTGCTGGTGATTCATCGCAATTCCGTGATTATGTTCTTAGATGTGGAGCACTTGTTCCGCTTCTCAATCAGCTTAATGAGAATACTAAATTGTCTATGCTTAGACATGTCACATGGACCTTGTCAAACTTGTGTCGTGATGGCCAGGTGAATCCCGCGGCGGTTCAAGCCCTTGAACGATTAATTCATTCTACTGATGAAGAGGTCTTGGCAGATGCTTGTTGGGCACTCAAATCCCTCTCTGGTAGGACCAATGACAAAATCCAGAATGTCATCGAGGCCGGTGTTGTACCAAGACTTGTTGAACTTCTCCTCCATCCTTCTATATCTGTGGTAATTCCTGCGCTTCGCACCGTTGGAAATATAGTTACTGGAGATGATCTACAAACGCAGTGTGTGATCGATAGTGGTGCTTTACCTTGTTTTGTCAACCTTCTAACTCAGAACTATAAGAAAAATATTAAGAAGGAAGCTTGTTGGACGATTTCAAACATCACTTCAGGAACACAAGAACAGATCCAGATGGTAATAGAGGCTAATTTGATTGCCCCCTTGGTTAATCTGCTTCGTTATGCTGAATTCGACATCAAGAAAGAAGCTGCATGGGCAATTTCCAATGTAGCTTTAAATGGTTCTCATGATCAAATCAAATACCTTGTGGAGCAAGGATGCATTAAACCGTTATGCGATATTTTGTTATGTCCAGATACAAAAATCATAATTGTCTGCTTGAAAGCATTGGAAAACATCTTGAAGGTGGGAGAGGCAGAGAAGAACTTGGGTAATACATGGGACATGAACTATTACACGCTGCTGATTGATGATGCAGGAGGGCTAGAAAATATGGAGGAACTACAGAACCATGACAACAGTGAGATCTATGAGAAGGCTGTAAGAATTATGGAGACATACTGGGTTGAAGTGGAAGATGAGGAGACACAACAACCTCTAGGTGTAGATGGTTCTCAGGCCGGGTTTCAGTTCGGTGGGAATCAAGCTTCGGTTCCTTCTGGGGGATTCAACTTCAGCTGAAGGAATGGTAATGGAAGCTTGCAGCTTGAGAATGGTGAAAGGTCAGAGTCAGTTAGAGTCTAGCTTCCTTTGTCTGATCTTAGAAGTGTTCGGTTTCATTGTCCATGGCTTTTTTTTTTTTTTCTTTGTAATTACCGGTCCTGAGTCTACTTTTGTATTGTTTTTAAAATTTGGAGGGTTAGAGCATGTATATGGGTGATACCCATATAGTATCATTAGGAATTTTTTAGTAATATTTATAATGTTTGTTTATTGTTTGAGATTTTTTATGATACTCCTACTAAATATGTTTGCATTGGTGAGATCGGTTTAAGTATCATAAAAAAAAAAATTTGTAAAGTCAAAAATAAATATATTAAAACATAAGATTACAAAAGGTAATATTACAATAAAAAAAAACGTAGAATATACTTAAGCAAAATAAAATATAAAATTCAAAAAAAACTGAAAAAAAACATGATGATAAAAATAATTTAGTCGCTTGTAGTCAATTACCTTGGTTCCATTGAAAATCTATATGTTGTGGTATGTCTTTTAATGAGTTGATGAAACTTAGATATTGGTTCCTCCAAAACCATTTTATTTGTCTGATGCATATTTCTTGCTTGTTTGATAACCCCTTTCTGTGATTGATGACAAATTCAAGAAACTTGTAGTATCTGCAATTTTTGGTGTGTAGTTTCAAATTTTATTATTCACATTGGTGTTAATTATGTAGACAGAATCCAACATGTGGCATAACTAGAACATTGAATTCATATTTGTTTTAAGGCATTACATTTATTCAAAGACAAAAGACAGTAAGGAGTCTGGTTTTTTTAAAACCAAAGAGGTATGAGAAGAAAACAACAACAGATGGGGACGAGAATGAAACTAGGACATAAGAAGAATTTGGCACCTACAGTGTTTTACTAAACAAATTCTTAACCTTGTGGATGAAAGAATATACGATGTAGAACCACGCTCTGCTCCAAGGAAAATCAAATGAGAGAGATGCGAGTATCCCAAGAAGTATTGTCACATAGGCTGCAGCAAGACTCCAATAGAAAGACACCATGTCAATGAAAGATTCATCATCTTCCACTTCATTATCTGGTTCTTGAAAGTTATTGTTGTTGCAGGTCAGAAGATGTGTTAATGATACTTTGCAGGTCAGAAGATGTGTTAATAAAGTCTCACTTACACCAATTCTGTGATTTTTTTCACTCTTGCAGGTAGAGGGAATGCCACAGACTGCAAAGTAGAGAGCTACATACCCTCCAATAAGCACTGAACTTGTTATCAAGAGTACCCACCCGTTTCCAACAGAAACCTGCAAAATATCACATGAATCACAAAGTAATCACATCCTCAATCACATTAAAGACAACCATATATATTTAGCTACGACTTTTGCATAGACCAAGAAATTCAAATGCTTGACTTTTCCAGTTTTGGCAAGACTTCAATCATAGACATATGTGGCATTGCCTCACACTATAAATTTACTACAATAAGAACTCATGATGGTTACAGATATATATAACGCCTATTTGCTTTACAATTACCAGCTGTGATACATTTCATATCAAGTTAAACGATATTCCCAAACCAAAGAACAAAGAGACCTTAAACGTTCATGAGACAAACAAACTAAACAAATTATTCCATCAGCTATATCAGAACGAGCAACATATATATAAAGAAGCAAGCTTTCAAATCCAAATTCGTTATGTAACAGAGAAAGACAGAGACCAAAGCATCTAAGGTAAAAGGAAACCAAAGTTCATACCGTTCTTCAAATCAAAATCAAATCAGAGAAAGACATAGACCAGAAAATCAAATGGAGAGGTGAAATGGATCGAAGAAGAATCGGCGGAGGAGAGATGAGATCGAATCTACACAGAAGAAATGGATCGAAGAAGAAATCGCGGAGGAGAGTAGGGATCGAAGAAGAATCGGCAGAGTTTCCAGAAATGATTTTTTTTTCTTTCTGTATTGCAAAAAAAAAAAAATCGCGGGTCCAATGGGAAACTGACACGTCACACGATACTGAGTATCACAAGTATCAGTCCACTGATACGTATCAGGCCCAATTAGGTGCTTTTGTCCATTATAAAATCATTTTTGGGTTAATGATACTGAGAAAAATTCACTGGTGTGCATGGTCTTATAATTTTAGTCATATTCATAACAATTACTACAAAGTCCAACACATTCCTAATGCTCAATTATCGACGAGTAACCACGAATGAGGAGAATGAACAGACGCAGGTAAAACAATTTGGTATTATGTTCATTTGGTGGTTTGTTTGTTAGCCTCTCTTAAAATTTAGTCTCTGAAGTTTGGACAAAAGAACAGTCTTAACAATTACATCGTACTAATTAACTATTATTGTGTCTAAAACTGACCCTAACTATACAAGTCTAGTACATGAACTTAAGATAGTAGTAACTGTTAGTTTTATGCTCTTGTATCATGTTAGGCTGATTTATTTTTTACAAACAAATTAATCAAAGCCTCTGAAACTCTTAATCCATAACACTGAACTTGGAAAGAATTGTGCAGTTTAGTTGTTAGATAGTGAGAGACCGGCCGTTTTCAATCGTTGTTAGGCTCAGAATCCGCGGTAAATTTGCGATCCAACAACAAAGGTTTATGGTTTTAGGTAATCGATCCAAAGGAAACAAAACAAAGCACAACCTCAGAGAAATCAAACAGAGCATGATCATGATTCAGAATTATTAGAATTCTCAGAAAATGATTTATAGCTAGAAATCAACCATAAAAGTTCTGGTTCACTTTTAAGGCCAAGAGAATATATCTCTTAAAATGTATAATAAATTCCTAAAATTTTAAAGAGTCTCAGATTTCAAATTCTTCAACCAGTTCATCTTTTTTCCTTCTAACTTTAACGTATATAAGATTTTATCATTCTAACAAAAGATCAAATGTTAACATCTAAACCAAATAGAAATCGCAAGAAACCGGCTGAAATATTAAAAACACAGAAAACGTTACCTATCAGAAAAGGACCCTCCTAATATATTTGTTTCATAAGAATTGCAACTTGCATGAATTTGTAGCCTTGACAACACTTTTCATATCTTTAACCACCGCAAGCCTATCTTCGTAACTGATGCGCTTTGAGTAGAAAGTAGCCCTCTTCAAACGATTCGTGTTCTTTAGAATGTATTTCGCCACTTCTCTCTCCTCTCTCTGTTTCCATTTGTAGCCTTTCCACATGAATGTCTCAAGATGAAACAACAAACATTCAGGAACATTCTGTGGTTGATTCCATTCTCCACTAGCCACAACATTGTCCATCCAACATTGTACATAATTGCTTACATCAATGAGCTTGAGGACTTTCAATTTAGGAGAACTCTGGAGCATGAGGGTAAGTAATACCCACCATGCTTTTGGATTTGTAGATAGCTCCAAATATACCAGCTCGTAGAAGATGCTACCAGTAGGAAACTTAGTAAACACCAAGTGTGATAAAGCCAAGGAAAGACGTTTGACTGAAGTGAGAACTATCAGAAGCTTCTCGTCGGTTATCTCAGAGACATTAGTAATATTTACCTCCATCAGCTCCGACACGTCCTCAATTAGAAAAGACTCAAAAGCCTTAGACCCTTCAATCTCCAAGTATTTTAAAGAAGGAGTATTTATCACATAGCCCCAAGGTTGTTGTCCACCACTGCCATTATGAATTGTTAGTCTTTGTAAAGATGGCACTTGAATTGTGAAAGTTTTCAAACTGCTACTTGAATTTCTACGCACTACAAACTCTTGAAGATTAGGACAGCCAGATAAAAGATTAAGAACAGATTCACCGTCTTTGAAGTCCACACCATGAAGGTGCAGAGTTCGAAGGGATTTCAGAGAAACCGAAGAAGGGACATCCATAACAATATTAAGGATGAGTTTCAAAGTCTCTAGTGTTTCACAGTTATACAAGCTTCTAGGAAGCTTGAAGAACCCTCTGTAAAAGTGAACTTCGAGTACCAACTCACGCACATTGCGGGTAAATGCAATTCCAATCAAGATTCCAATATCCACTGCATTATTACGTCCATCTAACCGAACTTTGAGACCAAAACTCTGTAGAACCGGAGCCTTATGTGAAAGCAAAGACTTGCAAACATTCTCGAGTTCAAGTCTGCGATGTAAAGACTTAAAATTGAGTTTAGGCAGCATTTTCCAATGAGACTGCCATTGTTTAGACAAAACACTCGTGGTTATGGCAGCTTTTGTAGGAAGTAAGCACAATATCTGCAGAATCAAAGCTTCAGGCAACTGGCTAATCCTGTCCAGATTATTCTTACTTTCACTATCAAAAGACAAAATTAAACAACAACAAAAAATAAGAGTTGGTTTTGAGTTTTGGATCGTATAGTTACGAAACCCTAAAAGATTCAAAGAAACTAACCATCGTTTCATTGTGAGACCGGAGAAGTAAGGATAAATCCCAAACTAGGAATTCTCTGTGAATTCGAAGGAAGGTGAAAAGTCTAGAAGATGATTTGAGAGAATTATTATCACCTCGAAGGGAAGAGTTTGAAGAAGAAGAATATTGTTCTTGATTGATTAAACTTTTTGTTCGGCGTAGCCCTTACGTATATAAAGAGACAAATTGAAAACCTAAATCACTTAACCGGTTATCAAGCCATTAAACCGGAAATAAATTAAATAAAACCAAATTGCATAAAATAAGCAAGGGCTGTTCAACCCAAGTTTGGTTTGAAGTCGGTTCGGTTTATTCGGATTTTTTGTATATGAATAATGTAGCCAGTTTGAATTCGGTTCGCTTTATTCCGATTTTTGGTATATGAATAATGTATCCAAACTAAAACTTAAAGTAGAATCAATAATTTGGCAAGGTTTCGGTTTTTGGTTTGGATTCGAATTTTTATCATATGTTGTTAATTTATAGAAGAAACTTCGGTTTGGAATCTGATTTGTTGTCTCGGATATAGGCCACATCGATTAATAACAAGAATCAACGGCTAACGTGTAGAACAAGTAAATGAAGGTACAACACAAACTGATAAAAGTGTTTGGGTTTCATTGTCTAGAGTCTTATTTTTGTATTCACAACGGAAGATTTCATCACTGTGAGCTCTCAAGTGTTTTGTTCCATAAGTCTCCAACTAATTCTCTTGAACT